ATTTCAGTCATGAAAAAATCTAGAAAATTTTGCAATTCTGGCTGGGAAAAGTGTCGGGTCCTCTACAGGGCCGACGATCGAGGGATCTACATTTTGTCTCAAAGATCGACATTTTGTCTCAAAGATCGGCGACGTATTTCTCGGGGGATTTCGGAATCATCTATTTTAAACACTTTATATCTTTGCAAGGAGTCATTTGAATTTTACAGGGTGATCATTTTTAGGTGTGTCAAGATCTTGACTTTCAGAAAATATATGGTTTGTCATAATGGAAGATGCTTCGTTCGATCGGAATGGATGAAAGAGTGAATGAGGATTGAGAGAAAGTGATGTTTTTGTTGTGATCAAGTTTGGATGACCCATACGATCTTGATGAATTTGGGGTCAATCATTTGCGGGCAACTATCTTTAGAAAGCTTGAGACCTCGAGATTTTTTTTGTCAACATGAAGCTTAGGGTGAAAATCGATAAGGATTGAAAGAAAGTGGTTTTCGCTGTGATCAAGTTTAGATGTGTGATGGAATTGAAAGAAAGTGGTTTTCGTTGCGATCAAGTTTAGATGTGATGGAATATGGTAGATGATTATTTTCGAATGAAATTCTCGTTTCTTTTCACCTGTGAAAAATGATAATTTATAAATGAATCGAGAGATTTTAAAATTTAAATAAAAAACATTGCAAGGTGATTGGGTCGATTCTGTATGTTACATATCACTATATTTGTAATTTTGTTACGATCCTTATGATACATATCACACGATTTTAATTTGTAATGATTATGATGTCAGTGATACATATTGCATAATTTCATATTTTTATAATTACGTTATATATCATTATACATTTGTAATTTAGTTACGATCCTTATGATGCATATCACATAATTTATATTTGTAATGATTATGATGTCTGTAATACATATCGCATAATTTTATAATAATTACATATGTATGATTCTATAATTTATATAAATTAAGTGATTATTGTCGTACGTATTTTTTGTTTTTTTTTCCTTTCGTGATGATGTTTTACATTTCGATTTTATGATCGTGGTGAGCGATATTCTAATTATGTTATAAATAAACATTTAACATTTAACTAAATATTCTTTTACATTTCCTGAAACATGATTATTGAAACGATAGAGGATAGTCGAGAAGTCGTGTATCGTTCGGTAAATCTTATATGGAAGGCAACTCATGGAAAGATTGTTTCGATTATTTTTGATCAAACTCAAACAGTAAATGTAATATTTAATGATGGTGAAGTTCGAGCCATAAAGATTGATGCCCCGGGTGCAGTTCTTATGAAAGAGGATGTTTTTTTTCGTTTATCAAGAGAACTTACCATTTCAAATAAAGATAATCCTATATACGTTGATGATGATACCACATCAATTGAGGATGAACTTGTCGATGATATTCACGTATGGTTTTATGTTTTTGATATTAAAGTATTTAGCGATTTTTATTCTGATAGGATTGTTAAATTACTGGTGCTGACAGATAAAAGATATTAATCAACCTCAAGGAGAGGAAATTGTATCATCGACAGGTGTCGATCGAGATAATCAACCTCGGGAGAAGGAAACTGCACCATCGATTGGTGTCGATCAATATAATCAACCTCAAGGGAAGGAAATTGTACCATCGACTGGTTTCGATCAAGATGATCAACCTCAAGGGAAGGAAATTGTGCCATCGACTGGTGTCGATCGAGATAATCAACCTCAAGGGAAGAAAATTGTGCCATCGACTGGTGTCGATCAGAGTAATCAATCTGGGGAGAAGGAAATTGTGCCATCGACTGGTGTCGATCAGAGTAATCAATCTGGGGAGAAGGAAACTGTGCCATCAATACAATCTCA